CTTCGGTTAAGAACCGTTGTTGAATTGCAGAGTTATGGACTCCTGTCTCCTTGGTGGTCTGGAGCACCTGGCAAAGCGACAGAACGATGATACACTCAAGAAATTCCTGGATCTCGTCCAGTCACCCTTTAGGCAATCCTTTACAACTGAAGCTTTCCTCGCATCTCTGGGCACTTCGCTGGGGATCTCTGCGGCTATCCTATTGGGTTGGTGTTTGATCCGGCCCTACAATGCCGTGGTATACGCTCCAAAGCTACGACAGGCGGACGACAAACGTGCACCTCCACAGATTTCAAGGGGGTGGTTTTCCTGGTTTCGACCTCTTGTTAAGTGTCACGAGCCGGATTTGGTGGACAAGATAGGGCTTGACGCCATTGTTTTCCTACGCTTCTTGAGAATGTGTCGGACGATATTCTTTTTCTTGGGTCTTATCGGGTGCTTGGTCATGATTCCGGTGAACGTTAGTTGCAACCTCAAGAATAGTTGGACTGGGCCGTATGCTAGTTCTACTCGGTGGTTCATTCTCATGAGTCCGTATTATGCGTGGGGACAGTGCATGTGGGCCCATGTTTGCGTTGCTTGGCTCTTTGATTTCATCATCATGTACTTTTTGTGGAGGAATTATAAGGGCATCCTAAATCTGCGGCGGAATTACTTTGAGAGTGATGAGTACCAGGCTTCCACACACTCCAAGACATTGATGGTAGTGTTACTGAATCCTATCCATCACGTGACTTGTTCCAGAAAGCTAATTTGTTTTAGATCACGGATATCCCGAAATCGTATCGCTCTGATGGCGGAATTGACAAGATACTTGGGGGATTAAGCATTCCTGATAACGGGGACGGAAGGCCAATGATTGGCAGAAATGTCAGGGACCTCCCAGAGCTTATTGAGGAGCATGCAGCCGCTGTTAAGCAGCTGGAGAGTTACCTGGCAAAATACTTGAAGAACCCTGATAACCTTCCTGCCGCACGGCCTTTGTGCAAGCCCTCGAAAAAAGACAAATCTATGCGCCATGATACCAAGGTTGATGCTATCGAGTATTATGGTGGCCGTATCAAGGAATTGGAGGATAAGATCAAGAGTGTCCGCGAAACCATTGATAGTCGAGACGCTCTGCGGTACGGTTTTGTGTCCTATCCGAACATCTCTCGTGCACATGTTGCTGCGAAGGCGGCTAGAGGAAAGCATCCTAAAGGAACTTTAATCATGCTAGCCCCAAGAGCAAACGATATCATTTGGGATAATCTGACGTATGTACCCCACCTGAAGACTGCGATTCAAAGCTTTGCTGACCCGAAATAGTCGCTCAAAATCGAAGAGACGTTGGAATAGTTTTATAGGAAATGTGCTATTCATTGGATTGTCCGCCCTTTATGTGGTTCCCAACGCGCTCATCGCCGTTTTCCTGTCGAATTTACATAACATTGCAGCGCTGTTTCCCAAGTTTGGTGACCTTCTGATTCGGAACAGTCGGTTCTTTGCCGTTGTGTATGCCCTCTATTCTGTCTTCACATTGTGGATGTGGATATGAGCTGACGGGTTGGCGGTTGTAGGCAGGGTTTTGCCGCACCGACAATTACTTCAATTGTCTACCTTCTTCTGCCTATTGTTATGAGACGTATTTCTCAATGGCAAGGGTGAGTAGTGGTTTATTTTTGGGCTATGGAGTGTGACCTGACTAGTTTCTAGTGACCTTACGAAATCATCCCGTGAGCGTCATGTCACCCACAAGTTGTATATCTTTTTTGTGTTGAACAACTTGGTCGTCTTTGCATTGTTCGGGGTAAGTGTTTCCCCTTTCATGGAATATGCAGAGGGACATGGACTCACTGAGTATTTTCAGACGATGTGGACCACAATTCGAGGTTTGGTTGAGACATCACAGACAACGCAGGTTACATGGGATACGATCCAAAACCTTGGGCTGGCTACTAGGATTGCTCTTGCGATTTTTGACGTGTCTACTTTCTGGATCACGTACCTACTTCAGAGGAATCTAGGAGCTTTGCTTGATTTGGTCCAGATAGTTAGTTTGATTGGGAAAAGTTTCCAGAGACATTTTATGTCACCTACGCCTAGAGAGAGGATAGAATGGACTGCGCCACCACCGTTCGATTACGCCACTTATTACAATTATGTAGGTCCGACCTTCCCATCTTCGCGGTAGGTTTGCTGACTTTGGTGTAGTTCTTGTTCTATGCGACAATTGCGTTGGCGTTCTCCACCATTCAGCCTCTTGTGTTGCCTGTTGCGTTTTTCTACTTTCTCATCGATAGTTTCCTGAAGAAGTACCTGCTCATGTATATCTTTGTCACGAAGGTAGAGAGCGGAGGCGCATTCTGGAGGGTAATAACCGCATCCGCTCTTGGGTATGGGTATGGCACTGACGAGTTGCAGTTACTTTTCAACCGCTTTTTGTTCGCAACCGGTCTTTTCAATGTCGTCGTAGCCTTGGTTGTCTGGGTGCGACACACCTATCAAGCGGCAATGTGTGTTCTTCCACTGCTCTTTATCTTGATTGGATTCAAGTTCTACTGCCGCAATCAATTTGACGGCAAGATTCGGTATCACACTAAGGGCTCTGACAGGGAGAGCCTTTACGGTGTTGGTAAGGGGATTCAGAAAGATCATTTCAATAAGCGATACGGCCATCCGGCTTTGAATCGCCGCCTGATCACTCCTATGGTCGATGCTAAAGCTAGGCATGTGTTGGCACAAATATACTCTGGTAGAATAAACTCTGAGCCCTCTCAGAGTGCTGGTGGCATCAACCTGGATAACATGCAACGAGGAGACACCGGTAGAAGACAGGATCCCTTTGGTGGCCGGTTCGAAATGGTTGAGGAAGCGGACATGGACTTTCAGCACTTTAAGCATAGGGCTGAGTTTGCGGATGACCACGGAGGATCAATATATGGGGTGGGGTCAGACGATCTCAGCGAACGTGGATATATTACGCCTCGTGGGTTTGGTTCCCCGGCTTCGTCCAGGCCAGGCTCTCCGTCAATTCTTGGGCCAAGGCGGGGCCCAAGCCCTCTTCCGTTGGGGGGCGGTTACCGTGGCCCAGACTACATTCCTGTTCCATCTGCCCAACACGGTCCGCCATCACCTGGTTTCCGACATGGTCACCGCCCCGAGAGCCCATATATGAGCGACAGAGGCCTTGCGAGCCCAGAGGCAATAACAGACTATGGCCACCACGATACTAGAAGCGAAACCGAGTCGGTTAGACACTTGCTCAGCGACCACAGTTCGCATGGCATAAATAGGCCAGGTTCATCACACCTGGGCTATAATCCAGACTACCCGGAGCAATACCAACAGCAGCCACGTTATGACGATTACGACGAATACAGAGGGCATAGATAAAAGAAGTAGGGAAAATAAAAACAGCTTGGGTTAGGAATCTTGGGCATATTAGACGCCACGGACTGTTTCATGACTTTCCTTTTTCTTATTCCTTGTAACATTTCCCCGGTTGGAGGAGGTGTGTGGTGTTGATGCAAATTGTATGATTCCTAGCTCTTTGACTACCCTTTTTTTATATTTGCATTTCCTGTACATTTTTACTTTTATACCATCTGTCTTTCTGTTTAGTCGTCTTTAGGAGGGGTCGGGGTAGTCGATTGATACTTGCTGTTTGCTCTTTTCTTGGAGTTTACTTTCGGTGTAGGTGGATACTTTTATACTTTTATACTCTACAGAGGTTGGGTTTGGAATACTGGTAATCGGATTTAGACTTGAGATATGCATTGAATACAGTACCGACTTGCGTTCTTATGTGGAACAGTGGTTGAGTCGAGCAATCATTTTGAAAAACTTGCCAGCAGATTAGCAATGAAGCATGTATAAAATCTCGCAATATCATCGTGGGAGGCTGGGCTATCCAAATCACATCATTGTGGCAACAATTGGACCAAACCGTGTTCCGACCATTTTCCTTTCCGGAACGGGTGGTTTTCACTATTTTAGGCTCGAGCAACTTGCCCGGAACGAGCACCAGGTTATTGTTTACGGCAGCCGGGTTATCGTGATTCCCCCCCTTCCTCCACCCCGAACCTTCCTCCGAAAAAAAAAAACGCACGCCATCACTCGAAGCCTCCATCACCTACTCGCCAAAATCAAAAGTCTGTCCCAGAGGCACTGTACTTGTACTCATATAGTGTAGTAGACTATCCGTCAGCGGCAGCACAGCAATCACTCCCCTCCGGTCCTCCGACAACCTTCAAGATGGGAGAATTATATCGATAATGCGGTACTCTAACACTGTAGCTATCGCCCATAACCCAAATACGCCCAGAAACCAAGTGCCTCTATGATATTACGGTAGTAGTAGTAGTAGTAGTAGTAGTAGTAATAACGTTGAGAGGTTGTGTGAGAAAGTATGGTAAGTTGCAGTCTTTATAATACAAGTTGTGTGTGTGTGTGTGATTGTGTGGAGCATAGTTCTAGGTAAAGGTCGGGGATGGATAGACCTTTGAAAATTAAATTTTTTTTCTTCTTTCCTTTGGAGAGTAAACTATCATGATAGTTACTGTAGAATCGTTTTCTTCTCCGTTGCGGGATTCCCGACCTTTCTTTTGTGGGTTACTTTAAGTTTACCGGTGAGGGGGGGTTTGTTTGTTAGTTATGCACGCAGGGATAAACCGACCAGAGCAATGCACCCCTAACATGAGTGTATCTTGTCTTAATTGATGGGATATCAGTTGACGGTTTGATGATAGTAGCTTTGGTGCTCAGCTCAGCTCTTTCAATATTCTCAAGGGATCACCTTGCTTGCCCCTTTTGATACTACAGCTTAGCAATAGAAAGAATTCATAAGTCCATAGCAAACAGCACTGTACGCATACGAAGATGGCAACTCGTTCACACAGGACGATCGTGAATATCCGCGTGGGTCGGGGCAAGTCTCTGTGTGCATTCAACGGTATGATACTTCGTCATCGGGTGACAAAAGAAAAGAGAGATGAGAGGAAAAAAAAAAGCAAAAAATATGTCCTCAGCGAGAGTCGAACTCGCGACCTTCGGATATCCCAACTCTTAGAGTTGATCATATTCCACTGAATATGAGACCGACGCTTTAACCAACTAAGCCATGAAGACTTGTGACTTTTCTCTCTAGTTTGGAGATGTATACAGTACACTGTTACCCTCCCTTCCTCAGTACCGGCATTTTTAACTTCACGCGGTGGCCTGCCGTAACTAGCAGCGCCAGCAAGGAGGCCGGCTTTCTCTGGAGCTTCAGCTTCTTGGCACGACATTTCTAACGCGAGTTCGAGCTCCATTCCGTCTCCGGACCCCTCACCGACCGATCCTCCTTCTGAGTGTGCTTCTTCCAGACCTTCTTTGCTCTCTGCCGAATGTTCTTCGCCGCCACTGGTTAGGTCTGCTGCGACTTCAGCGGCGTGAGCCAGCTCCGCCGCTTCGAGTTCAGCGCTTGTTTTTGCTATTCTCTCTTGAGCTGCACCCTTTTCATTCTTAAAGTCAATTCCGCTAGCCTTTCCGCCCCGTCCTACGCTAGTACCTGGGGATCTCCCTGGTTTTGATTCCGGGTCTCGTGCTTTCTCACCAATTTTAGCCCTCTGTACTGAAATTCCCGCCGCCCGCTTTTCAGCCGCCGCAGCCAGTTTCTGCGCCGCAGCAGTCTTCTTGGCCTCGGCTGCCTGTTCACTCTTAGTTGCCCCCGCCCCGAGCTTCTCCTGCGCTGCCTCCCGTTTCATCCTTTCCTTCTCCCTCTTCACCCGGCGTTTAATCTGGGTTGGTGTGCTGGCGCCTGGACGGTACTCGCCAGCATCTGCCGCCCTTTGCTCCTCCGCGACTAGCTCTACTGTGATTCTGTCCACCAAAGCCTTCTGGTTCGCGGCCCGTGTTGCGGCGGCTTTTTCCCCTGCTGCTGCACGGGCCGCAGCTTTCTCCGCAGCCGTTTTTGGAGCAGGTTTGGCTTTTGCGTCTGGGGGTGGTGGAGGGCCTGATGGTTTTCTCCCCTTGGCAGCATTTTGGTTCGAGCCCTGTTCCACGGCCTCCACTGAGAGCTTTGCTCGTTTGGCCTTGTGGTAAGTGTGGGGCGCATAACCATCATCACCACCATCGTCACCATCGCCGTCTTCATCGGTTGAGGAAGAGGCGCATTCGTACATTCGCATAGGCCGATGTTTACGGGGTGATCTCCGGAGGGGCTGCAGGACGGGGGATAAACGAGGAGGAGTCTGGGGCTTCCATTCCACGGTGGCGGGAGCTGGCTTGGGGGTCTCATCTTCGTCGCTAATATTGCTTTCGTTCTCGACGGTTTTCTGTCCAAGATGGGCAGCAGCTTTTGGTAGCTGACCAACTCTGATCGGGTTAGGGGATTTGCAGAGCATGGCATTCGAAAGCCTAGGACGGGATGTCACGGTGAAATACGTACTCCTAGTCCATGTTATACCGCGATGTAGTAAGTAGGACCAGAACCACGTCAAGCATGACATCAATTGCCTTTATAAATAGGGGCAAGATGAACCAACCTTCTTTCAACTCCACCTTTGACCGGCAACTGACAACCAATAGCCAACCATGCTTCGACTTTCCAAGAGGCATGGGGCCCAGCTCTCGGGCTTTCCCGCACGGAGAACTTTCTACAATGAACCCTTCGATGAGTCCCTTAATCGAGGCTCACAAACCTCCTCTTCTTTCAATGGACATGGCAAACACCACTACGATGACCATTTGGTATATTCCCTTATGCATGATGGTTAGAACCGTAACTGACGAGTAATGAAAATAGTGGAACAGAGTTACCAAGATCGATGACCGTGTTAATAACGTCCTCAAAGTATGATGTGTACAGTCACTCTGCAGAAGTATTCGTGATGCTGCTTAGTCAGTATCACAGTAGTAGCTGTCGCAACCCCGCAAAAAAATGATTTGTGGGAAAGTGCCGATTGTGGGCTACCAAGCTAAAATATTCTAAGGAATCTAGGGATCCTTGAGCTTAGGGAAATATTCTATGCACCACCCCTTTACCCCTATTAGTAGTGGCTGTTTGTCATTGGAGGCCACAATTTCCCGAAAAAAACCTGGAGGAAGAATTACTCCCCATAATATTATGAGGGAAGCTTTCTTCAAGCTGTTTTTGGCTGCTTTGGGACTGCGTTTGTGGAAGGAACAGGAGGGTATCATACTAGAGCATACTTTACCATGACACTCTTTCGCTCAAAAAATATGCTTACTAAGATGTTTCAGCTTTTCACAAACACTTCTGCGTAGGGAGTGTATAATTTGAGTTAATGGTGAAAGCTAGCAATTTCACAGGATGTGGGTGACATGAAAGCGGATTTTGGTCTCAGGTTTGGCGAGCTTGGTGCTAAAATGGAAAGGGGCTTTGGAGAGCAGAAGGCGGAAACGGCGCCGATGAAGTGGCAGCTCCGGTTCCTTGTAGCATCAATTGCAACCGTACGTCTGTACAGTACATAGATTGCTGCCTTTTTTTTAATTTTTGATTTTGCGTTTTTAATTGATCCGAAACTCCTTCCTTGAGCTATTGCTACTTTTAAATCCCTTCCGTGATTTTTGCATCCCTTCTGCCGTCCCGGCATTCACACACCTCTTGTGATTTTAGTGAAAGAGGGACATGATGCTCCAAACCTGTCTGCCCACCAACCCACAGGATATTGCAGATACCCTTTTTTCTGACCTTTTCTACGGTACCATATACGGCTATTAAGGTCCCTTTTTAGTTGTCCCCTGTGGCCTACCTTAAGGAGAACCTGTGCAGGACCCTGCTGGGAAAGCCGATAACTATAAGCCACCACCACCGCGTTCCACTATGGCACTGCGCCATGTACTGTCCCCATGCCTCCTGGCAGGGCACACAGAAAAACCATCCATTTATGGCACCTTTCCGTTTCCTTGCGGGAGTGGGCGCAGGAGCAGGTGTAGAGGTAACTCGAATAACCTTGATTGCGAAATGCTGCACTTTTTGATTAGCTGCCTGGGCGATAGCAGTGACTTTTGCGTCTGGGGGGCCTAGTGATAAGTAGGTACTATACTCTACATAGGAGGAGGAGGAGCGGTAGCAATGCATATAGTATACAAAACTTGTGACCGATCATGCCCGATCACTTGGTGATCGGTAGATGTGTGTTGGATATCAGATATGTCAGATATGTTTGACATATTATTACTTCAATCTGATGGGAAAGGATAAACATGTTCCGGCACTGGGTACACTATGTGGAATATCAGAAACCAGGAATTAAAGTCAGTGTCAGAGGCATCGGTTGGAATGAGAAATTCAAGCAAAGAATTCCTCCGGTTCCTTCTTTTTGATACTGCTCTACATATTGTTCGGACCTCGGGCTGTTCGCACAGAACCTGCAACCGTCCGCGGACCAGCCGGGCCTGGTCGGTAGGAAAGCACCTATGAGTATACATGCTGGTATCATACCCCGTGCAAGCCATAAAGCATTCTCGATACCCATGATTGCTACAATAGTAGGCTTCCTGGATCCATAGCTGCCGAGTATGATTAAAACAAGGGAGAGCATCAAGTTGCCGCTTCGACACCTATCAGAGTAGCGGTTCACCGCAAATACGTGTGTGTGTGTGTGTGTGTCAATATCTTAATGTCAGGTATGGCAGTTTGCCGGGTTTGGCGGAATGTCAGCTAAACGGTACTGGACCAGTTTTTCTGGCATCACAACTTGTAGTTTGCGCAACCAATCGCTCCGCCGCCCCCGCTGGATATACTGGGGAAGGATGTGGCAGGGGAGAACTTAGTGAATGAGAAGCCAAGATGAGGAGGAGGATTGATGGATTAAAAAAAAGGGCAGGCTCCTCGGTTGTTGTTGTAGCTGTGTCCGATGTGTAGGAAGGTGTGTAAATAGGACTGGACCGGTGCGTGAGGAGAAGGAAGGAAGAAAGGAAGAACGGAAGAAAGGAAGGAACACAAGGGGTGGTGGATGACTAACCGGCTTGACGTTTGTCGACGTACCATAGTAGACTATCCCTTGGGCGGTGTGAAACAGTAAAATTCGGACCACGCCTAACTAGTCCCAAAAGGTGTTCTTGGTGCTTATGAATATTTCGAGTGATATCAAATAATGATGGTCACAACAAAGTGAGCAAGCAGTCAAGAAAGCAAGCAGATTCCACTAGAGTATATAATACTAGATGGATAAAAGACAAATGATAGAGAAAAAAAAAACTCCTTATACTTATTAACTAAAGCTGAATTTATATCTAATATTAAAACAATCAACACAAAGAAAAAAGCCATATCCTGGACCCAGACAGCTATAGATGGTTCATGGTACCCATATACCTTTCTGCTTCGTTTTCCATAAAGTGAACCAACACTGTGTGCACCCAACTCTAGAGCATTGGTCTCAGATTCTTGAGAGCATATGGTCCTCCTGTAGGCCATGAGATGGTGGAAGTGATATGTAGTACTGAAGTTCACTATATTGGAGAAAGGAAGTCTTCTATATATAGTATGACTTTCTTAGTTGTTGCTACTTATGTCTATATATTTTGATAATGGATTTGGCAAGAGCTTCATGGAAGAGACGAGATAACCTGAGCTTGCTGGAAGGTACAGGTTAGGAGGTAGATAAGGAGATAGGAAGACAGCGTAACTATAGGTAGAAATTGATAACCATAGTATCTAAGAGTCAATGGAGGATAGGAGGCTAGTTGTGTAGGCATTTTAATTGCATGAAATAGTAACAGCAATAATGGTCAGCTAGATTGACTTCTATTTTATACTAATTATAGTCATTAGTAATAACTAGAATAGAAATATTAGCTTGGTAATAGGAACCAAATACATGTCAGATAGCAGAACTATTACTTCTAGTATATTGTAGCTTCTTACACTTAGAGATTATCTTAGTCTCAAGAGTATAAATAGTGCTCAAGAAATGAACTGCACTATTGTCTTGCTACCGTAAAGCTAGTATCTTTCTAGCTAAATCTGCAGTCCTATCAGAGACTTCATTTCATAGAATATTTTTTCTTTTATTATTGAGATTAGGTGGAAAGGCTGATCTACTAACTTTTGCTATACCACAAGCTCCTATTCCTAGGTCTCCAAGTCTCACCAATAGATGCTGTGAGGTGAAGTAGTT